TAACATATAATAAATATAAACTCGATTTATTACAATTAACAAAATCAATCTCTTAAATATATCTTTCTAATATAATTATTTAAAATATATTCTTTAATATAATAAAAAGAATAATATACTATACTAAATATAATAATATCTTTTTTATAATCTTTCCAAAATTTTTATTAATTTTAAAAATCATTTCAAAACACCTAATACTTTGTAATAAAATTTAAAACTCTAATTTGTAATATTATTAATTAATATTAATATCAATTTGAAATTAATAAAATATATAATACTTTAGTCTTTATAATTTATTCGTTTTTGATTATTATTAATTATAAAAAGCTAATATCTAATATAATAGAAGTACTAGCGCTAGTGCACACGCTAGTACATACGCTAGTTGCAATACAGTGCCCTCTTAGATCACATGATCGATATCCCGACAGATGGGTATGTACTTTCAAGATTGTATGTGACTATCTATCTATCTAGTATTTTGTTATATTATATTATTATTATTATCGCTTTACTAGATAGACTTGATTTGATTTCGCTTAATTAGATTGGAAAGAGAGCCCTGGAGATGATAGTCTGTCTCTTTGTCTGTCTGTCTTAACAAAATAGATGATTTGATTTGATTAGATTATAGTATGTTTTTGTATATTTATGTGTGTATTGAAATCTCCCTACCTATATACTGATGATAATTATCAATCTCTGATAGACGTAGGCTTTGTCTCTGTGAAATGATTCTTGAAGCGGTTTGTTTAGGAAGGTATTGGAATGGGAATTTTTATTCTAATGAGTATTATTATGCGTATGAGTATGAATATAAGAGAATTGGATTTGAAATTGAATCGAAAAGGATTATCTCTGAGAGCATCGATCTGATTTTGAGAGAATATTTTGTCATCGGTGGAGAGTGGGAATCGAGTTGGATAGTGATGGTGATGGTCGAATTTATAGGCTATAGGCTATGGGATTTGGAAGGATGGAGGATGGAGGATTGATTGTTGAGCCACGGTTCATTGGGGTTGAGTTCGGGTTAGGTTGAGGTTACTGCACCGGTCAGGAGGGGAGGAGGGAGGAGAAGTAACCAGAGCGGTGTGGTTACCGTGGTTGGATGTGATGTGATATGATATGACATGATCTCATTGTTTACGATTTGTGGTAGGGCTGGTTGGATTTAAGTGAGTAGGTAAGTAAGTGGGTGAGTAAGGAGGTGTAGGTGATAGGTCTTTGGACCGTGAATAAGATGAGGTTAGGTGAGATGGAAAGGGGGTTTTTATCTGTCTGTTTGTTTGATATCGACCGGTGCGGAGTCCAACTTTTTTGTGGAGTGTTATTAGATGAGGGAGACAGTTTCTATTTCGTATTCAGATTCGGATTTCTAGCCATGGTTACCCGCTTTTATGGGTAGGATACTACTAGATAGGTATGTTAATGAGTGTATTTTTATTCGAAGTTTGAGTTGAGATTGTATCGGATATTTTATTTGACTCTAGGGATATGAAGAGTTTGAGGTGGGGGGGGGGGCGGAATGGGGCTGTAGATTGATGGATATGTAGAGAGAGACCTGGAGACTTGGGTGCGAGACCTTGGACCTTGTTCCTTTGACCAGATGTTCATTTGTTTTTTATTTGCTTCGCTACTATCACACTCTTTTATATCTCGTGGAGTTGTACGTTTAGCTATAAAACCACATTCTCAACACATTCATATCTATTCTAATATCTAAACCCATCATTCATTATTCCCCATCTCATTTCATTTCATTTCATTTCATTTCACTCACTCATATATACACCTCCCTCATCCTTATTCTCCTCAAAATCAAAATCAAAATCAAAATCAAGATAACCCCCAAAGCCTTCCTCCACTCCTCATACTCAAAATTCTCAACTCCCTACCCCCCACCAAAAATCCAAATCTCATAAATTAATGCTCGAATCCCTCACTTCCTCTCTCAATCCCTTTTTACCAGAACTTTTCTCAATCTTCCATCTCGATCTTCTATTTCTTTTTCTCTATTTGTGTTTTTTCAAACGCTAAGCTAAGCTAAGTCTTTGGTCTTTCAATCAATCCACTTCTCAAAACGTCAGATTAAAAGACTAAGGAGATATACATCTTCGGAGTTTGTTCTTCATTCCGTCTCTATCTGAAGTATTTAGGAAGATGTTTCTCCGCTACTGCGTATATGTCGCTTTGACGCTTTATTTGCGATTTCTTTAGTTGGATGGAGTTTTTTTCCATTTTCCATTTTTGGTTGATGTTTCCTGTTGGTCATCTAATTAACATCAATCATGAATCTCATGTCCCTTTGATTTTGAATACTAGTTTTTGGGATTTCTCTAAAGATTTTTCCAGCTCTTTAGCTGTTACTCTCGGTTATTTCGTATTTCATGGTTTATGTTGCTCATTTTGCTCGGCTACAGGCAAGCGATTGGATTGGACATGTTATTTCGAGATACTCGGGGATTGCAGGTGCGTATTTGATTTTTTTCCCCTCGATGGTATGTTGATACTTCTTTTTGTTTTTTATCGCTCAATTTTTCCCTTGTTATTTCATTCTCATATCATCTCTTCCCTTTTCCTCTCTCCCCTTCTTCTCTTTTCCTTTCCCCTCTCTCCACTGTATCATCTCATCTCAGTCACTTTAACGTTTCTCAACTCCACCTCATTATACTTATCTCACTTATCTCTTTTCGTCTTCTAGCATTCTTTCCTCGCTATACTCCTGCATTCTTATACCCGTCCACAGTCTATCACTTCTATTATGTTTTTCCCACCTTTTATTCTCTCCCACCATTAATTCCCCCTTCCAATCCCGTAAATCATCTCAAATACAATCCACAAAACATCGTTTGCTAACTTATATTTACTGCTTAGTTTCCGATACGATATCCTTCAAACATTCTAATTCCTATTCCTATCATCTCAGCTCAACCGAATAATACCATTTGGCTTCCTAGCTGGCTATCTAACATTCTAGTCTTCACATTGAAATCATCATCATATACCAACATTGATTCAATACCGATTAAATCGATAACTCGAGGTGTTATGAAAAATCTTATGATGATTATTCATTTCGCAACTATTGATGTCTCTTCGCTTGGATGAAAAGAGGGGGGAATTATTAGATTGTATTGAATACAGATTATAGTACTATAAAACCCCCGGTTAATGATTTATCAAAAGTATGATGTTTTATTGGCTTGAATTTGTAGTAGATGATCATGCAGTGTATCTAACTGCGGCTTATTCATCTTTGTGAAGGTATGAACGCAAGTGAATGACCTTAGGGCATTAGGCTACTCTAGTACACTTAGCGAGAGAGCTAGTCTTCATGAACAACCTTTGGAAGGATTGGGTTTTTCTGTATTTTCGACGTGGTGCTACGTCATCTGTACTCTTCCCATACAAGATATGATTGTCAGTATCACCTCGGTAGTGGTTATGACGTCTTTGTAATAGGTTTAATACATTGATCGATATCGTCTGTGAATATTTTGGGTTTAGAGCTATGAGAGCTATATGTATGTATACGCTCTTACACTAGTGCACGCAATATTGATCATTCAGTAGATCGAGTAGGTTAATTCCAAATGATAGGCTGTCGTGAGTTGATGAGATTGATTGGCCTCGGGGGCTTGCCTTGTTTTGTTGCGGGGTGTTTGAAGTGAGTAAATTCATTCGTTTATTAATGAGTTGTCTGTAGTATTGAAAGATCTAAGTTATAGTTAATTCAGATTAATATTACTGGATTATACCTGCTCTTAACACCAATAGAGCAGCATGATGAAAGAGTTCGTACATCTTGTTTGTACCAATAAAGAATTCGAATATACAAATCAATGTTCGCAATAATGTGAAACCTACACTCTGTAGAGTTTGCCACTACTATACGAATCCGAATGGGGTGCATACAGATGTTACATCGGTTGGAGAGTGAAGTGGCGGTTCAAAAGGAATTTCTTTCCATACATTGGCTGGTGGGATGGGGTGGGGTTGGGTATGAAGAGATCGTCTTCTGTGTCGTCTCCATGGTAAATACGATGCAACTCTTTTCCTACATAGAGTCTCTCGTCGTCTCTTCATTTGCGCGGGTATCTTCCACGTAGTCGTGGCGTGTACTGTACACCAGGTTGTCAAAAAACTGGAACATTATTGAATAGCAATCACCAAAATCAATAAAGCATGCAGTATTCAATATCTTATCATTTTATAGGCACACGATAGTAAGTGCAAATTTTGTGGACACTTCAGCTTCAGGTTCGGTGTCAGAATATTGATTCGTTGAAATGATATTGAATATAAAAGAGGTGGTAATAAACTAACAGGATAGTACTAGCTCCCGCCCCAGCTGAGGCATCCACAACTACATCCTTAGAGAAACCATGTTCAACTGCCGCTCAAATGGAATTTTTCTCCACTTCAGTCTTCAAAGTTCTCATTTGAGTATTTGCTACTATCATCGAGATCTGCACTAGAGGTTGTTCTACCCGGCATCTTTCCTGAGGCTTCATGTTCTCTCGAAGAATTCTTTTAGCATTCTTTTGTATCAATTCAAATTCCTATCAGCTATTCAATTTTTACCAGACTTTCATTCTTTCTATAACACGATTTCAGAGACTATTTGAAGAAAGAACTATTCCGAAGCACCTACTCCCGCTGAGGCTGATAGGTGTAGATGGAGTGGTGGGTGGGGCGCTGAGTGGGGGACACTCGAAGGTCTACGACCATATGTTCCTGGTGTATTGGTTCTTCCGTCTGCATGAAGCTAGGGTAAGCTCAGCTCATGCGTATCCTGCCAAATATGGAAATTCCTTCGGAACAAATGCCCATAATGAGTTGATGGCGAATGTGAGCCGCATATAATACTACCTGCTCCCATTTCTTTCATATCATATTACGACATTGTTTAGAATGAATTTCTGAACCTCTTTCTTCTCATCGAAATATTTTGTTCCTGATGTTTTGCTTCACAAAAAGCACTTCAAATTATCATGGAAGCCGGAAACACATCACATAACGAGAACTTGTCCAAATCAGAGCTCATTCAGGGAGTCAGCAACAATGCCTTTGTGGAATTACTTATCAGTCTTTCCTCGGAATCAGGTGGTCCCAAAGAGGAGCTTTTCGTAAATACGATGCAAGAAAGCAACCTCGATGAACTGAGAAGGCTTTTCAACTCCAAGGTTGATTTGTTTGAGATGACTGTACCTACAAAAATCAACTATGATGGCAGAGAGATGTTCCTCGACCTAGCCTTGATTCACTGGGCTGCAGGGTTTAGCAAACCTTCGATCATCAATCTTCTTTTAGAATATGGTGTCAAAGTGGACGAAAAGATTCCTATAATTGGCGGAACCGCGCTACATCTGGCATCTCGATTTGGTTCTAAAAACAACATAGATGTACTCCTTTCTCAAAAGCTGGACATAAATCAAAAAGACCGTATTGGAGAAACTCCATTACATTTGGCATCCAGATATGGTAAAGAAGAGAATGTGGAGTATCTTCTGGATGCAGGCGCCGACTATAGCCAGCTTGACAACCATAATAATATGGCAATTCATCATGCTGCTACAAATGGCGAGCTTGAAACTATGAGAATTCTTCACAGACGAGGTTCACATAGATATATCAATGAGGCAAACGGTTATCTCAATGCACCACTGCATTTAGCAAGTATGTTTGGCCATGCCAGTGTTGCAGAATGGCTTTTGGAAAACGGAGCAGCAATTAATCAGCCAGGAATAGGAGGAGACACTCCATTGCACATGGCCACTTCCAGGGGTCATGTCGAAATTGTCAGGCAACTTTTGAACAATGGGGCGGATATTCACAAAAAAAATGACAATTCATACTCCGCAATTCTAATTGCGTCTGAAAATGCTAACATAGAAATCTTCAAGATGCTAAGAAGATCAGGTGCATTTCTCTTAGATGTAGGCGCGCGAGATCATGGTACTTGCTACCACAGAGTCATAATGTGTTTCCGGAAATTCTCAAGCGACCACGATGAAATCATAAAAATTTTGGTAGGCGACGGTGTAGATATTAACCAGGCTAATGCTAATGGCAATTCACCCTTATATCTTGCATGTATCAATCAAAAGCTCGAACATGCCCAGTGTCTCCTGAAGTATGGTGCCGACGTCAACCAGATGGGGTCTCAAAAAAATGGGACTCATCTGATGGAGGCTTGCTGTCTTCCTGCCAGTGACATAGTTGAATTGCTCTTACAGCATAATGCCGATACAGAAATAGAAAACAGTCATGGGTTGACTGCCTTGGCATACGCCGTCCACTCCAATCATCTTGAACACGTCAAGCTTCTTATAAAAAATGGCGCCAACGTCATATGTAGCGATCGTCGAGGATTAACACCTCTTCACACTGCCATTTTGCAACCAAAGAATATTGCTATTGCGCTCGAAATTTTGGCTGCGGAACCATACTACCCCAAAAGTCCATCCGCGAAATATCCTCACATGGAAAGCACTTCTGAGATTCTTGAAATAGAGATCGTATTACTTCAAGGATTTGAAAGCTCTGAGTATGAGACACTGGAGCAGCTTCATATCATCATGTATTGGGCAGTCTCTAATGGTGCCAAAGATTTGGCTAACCGATGCATCGATCATGATCGACGAGTACTGCGCTGGACTAGAGAAGGGGCTACATGGCTTCACATAACTTCTAAAAGTGGTATGGTCGAAATTGCACAACTCCTTTTAGGAAGAATGACAATGCAATCAGACGCACCGGATCAACCATTAGGGTTGGCAGCAGTTGCTTTGATCATACAGCGAAACAGTCGAGGGGACTCGCCTTTGGCTATTGCAATTGAAAAAGGGCATGATCAACTAGAGGACTTCTTTTGGGCCCAAATCAATCAACTTCAAATCACCGAAGAAAAATTGATAGAGTCTCATCCAGACATTGCATCTCAAATTCTCGAGTTTCTAGCTCGATATGAAGAGCCCGGGAATGAAGAGATACTCAAAGGTTTCTTGAGGTCCGGTGGTAAGAGAGACGTCAAAGACTCGGAAGGTTTCACAGCTCTTCAGTGGGCAGTTTGTCGATCCCAGGCAGTTATTGTATGGTGGTTGTTGTCGAAGGGCGGTTACTCGTCTGACAAGATCAACAGCGCCTTGAAGCTTATTGTTGAAAACAAAGACGAACAATCTGAAACCATAAAGGGATTACTCCGTGCCCCTCCAACAACTCTCGATCATGTCTCAAATCCAAACAAGAAGCATAAGCGCAAGTCTCCAAAGTCCGCAAATGGCAATCATTTCACGAATTATATGGGAAGCATTGTTGATATTCTTTCTGGTACAGAACCAAAACGTATTAAATATGCCACCTCAAGTGTTCAGAAGCTGATTTACGATATTGGCCCAGAGGATATAATGAGAGAAGCCGGAGATTTGAGTGAGCGCCATTTAGCGTTACTGAAGGAAACTCAAAAGAAACATTGCGGGGCTTCCTCAAACAGGATTGTTGTTCAGACAAAATACTCTCCGAGTCTGGAATCAACTTCACCCCAACATGAAAAAATTGGTGATGAGGCACCTTCGAGCGGCAACCTGCATGATTTTGATCTTCGCTGGATTCATCTTCCTGTTAACGAGGTAAGACCTTCTGAATTTGCATGTTCGTTGAGTTTTGGAGCGGCACTGATAAATGAATGATAGTTAAATCTAATGCGAGTAAGCTGCATCATGATTCCAATCTTGCCACAGCCATCTGACGATATTCTTCCTAGGACCTCGTAAGTCGACTATCAAGTGATTCAGGTCGATCCGAAAGAGAACACATGGCTATTATGAAACACTTCAACAAAAGCTGGACAGAGCTGGCGGCAGGCGCAGAACGTTATTATATGAAACCCCAATTTGTGGTATGCAATGAAGAATCATAGTTAAGACTGAGATGAGAGCTTACCATCTTTGAATTTTAAGCGCAAGCAGGAAGATAGCCACTACGACCCAGTCAATGGTAATGATGGCGACCAAGCACCAAGAGAGTCCACCGCCGGCGCTTGCGCGGCACTTTATGTAGGTGACTGCACAATTTCCTGCTTTGATAGAAATGTAAGACACTGAACATTCTCCATTAAAGATGCCATACCTAGACATAGGGACCTTTGATCGCAAAAAAGATAAGTCTTCAAACACCAAATCTTCCGCTTTACTTGACGAGTCTATCAACGAGCGTAACTCGAGAGAAATCAAGCATGAGCCTATAACTCTCGATCAATATTACTATCCAACTATTGACGATACTTCAACGAGAGACAATGATCAAGTGCTGTCAAAATTCTTACAAAAAAAATCCGAGCAACCGGGAGGTACTGCAATCCTGTCAAAAATGAGCATGGGAGAACCTATGGTGATAGAAGCTAACGCTCACTAGGCAGAAAAATCCTCATGGTGAATCAGCTTTGGATTTGGATTATCGACAAAAGTACTGTTAAAAATTCCGAATTCCAAGTGTAAATAAACGTGTGAATCAGCTGACCCTGCTTCAGAAACAATTATCACAGCCACAACCCAGAAATTTGGTGAAACTTCCGAACAGCTCAGCAAAGCAGATCGAGATCCTCCAGAGATGCTCATCCAGAATGCATTGGATAACATACTTCACGGCGAGACAAAAAGTCAATTTGAACGCGCAAAAACAGTCGATTCCCTGATGGAGCTTCTTCTTGGTGTTGCATCTGGGCTTTTCATGAAACGATTTGTACATGTTTCTGGCCAAATTTACAAGGGGCCGATTGAGATATTTCGAGAATCGATTAGAGACGTGGTTTGTTACTGTACTCACATGGAATTGCCTAATCTTCAAACTAATATATTGGATTAGGCGGAGAAAGAATCTTCACTTTTCCAAGAGTTTCTTCGAGGTCTCCAGGAAGCAAAACCTCGGGAACAAAAGTCTCTGGAACCAGAGCAAAAGAAAGAACAGCCTTCGAGTGAAGATTCTGACTCCAAGTCACCGGATAGACCAATGCCTTTAAATCGCTACCATGTTATTTCATCTGAAACCGAACTTCTCAACATGATAAGAGATATCCGTGACGAGCTTCATATGCTCAGATCTCTGGCAGAGGACCAAGAAATTGTTTGGAAGCAGGCCTTTGCTTCAAGTGACCTGATGCACTTCAAAGCTTACAGTCCCACCAATGTCAAGAAAGATTTGGACGCTATGCTTTCTGAAGCAAATAAAACGGAGGATTATGTTAGTGAAACGCAAAGGATATAAGTGGACTTTTCAGCTGACAAAAAACAAAGATCAACACTCTGCTCGACCTGCGACAGGCGGAATTCGGCAGATTACAAGCATACGATTCAGCTAGACAGTCCAACAGTATCTTTGTATTTACTATCATGACCATCGTATTTGTAAGTCTTGATTGGTAATCATCAGAGAGATGGGAATACTAGCAAAGCTAATGATTAACCTCTGAATGCAGCTTCCTCTCTCATTTCTGACGTCTCTCTTCGCGCTGAACGTATCCAATTTTCCCCATGAAGGGGACAACGTACAATATAAGGGGTGGTGGATATTTCCCATTATCTGCAAGTATTTCTGAGACCGGGAAATTCAATAGCTAACACGATGATTAGTTGGTGTCACCGCACTTATCTCTATTCCAGCTATCATTTTCGCATGGAAAGTTAACGCCTTTTCTAGCTTTCGACCACGAAACAATATTTCCAGTGAAAGTGCAAAGCATACTGATTTTATAAAAAGAGTTCGTAATATTCCGAGAAGGAGAGGTAGGAAATCGTTTGATGCTGAGGCCTAATAATAGCGCGCGGGCAAAGTGTACACGCATGAGCTGGAAAGAGTTTTGATGGAGATTTTCTTTAGTATATAAACGAATTATTGTTTTCAGAACTTTCAATGGAATAAACATGTATTATGCACTTGCCATGACTGTAACAATATCAATCAGCTTGACTAGTTACAAAATGCTGCATTATAGATATGAGCGGACTTCCACTATTCCCAGGTAAGCACGATATTTTCGTGGTGATCTTAGATTTCAGGGAGGTCAGCGAGTATTGCGCAAGAAAAAAGTATCAGCGCGGACGACATATCTTCTCCGGAAAAGTTTGTGATATATAGGATTGTTACTTTTGTTTAGAAACACTATCCACATTGACGTCACGAGTTAAAGCAATGTTCAGTTTCATTGATGAAGTAGATGACCATGCATAAAAGTCATAAAAGGGTCTACATATCATATCCTGCCTTAACATTTATGCATAGGAAGTACACGTGCGTAAAGCACAGTTAGCACACTACAGGAATGTAATTCGCGACTACAAGAGACTAATGGCTGTTCTCCGTAAATTTAGATCCGAAGGATCGTAGGTTCAGAGAGCGCGGGCGTAGCTTCGGCCTTCTCAGCCTATGGTCGTACATACCTGAATCTCTTCCTAAATACATGCACATCTTCTACGTATTGACCTTCAATCCATACTTTCCGTCTTTCTTCTTCGTCTGCATGTCTTCATCCATCACCACCTCGGATGTTTGTCATTTGCTCTTCCATCTCACTCTGCCCACCCAATCCACAAACTTCTGCACATCCTCCCTCTCCTCCAGTAACTCAACCGTATAATAGTCCCTAGCCAATTCCTCATGCCCCGCAACGCGATGCACAAAACTATGACACGCTCTGCATAACCACGCTACGTTATTTAATTCTTCCTCTGTATGCCAACCGCGTTTTAAGACTTTTGCATGCACGAATTTGGGGATGAGATGGTGGTAAGTGAGGGGGATCCAATCGCGGTCGCAGAGCTCGCAAGCGGTGGTAACGGCGCGGAGGGCCTGGGGTGTGGGAGGCGGGGAAAGGAGATGCGAGAAGTAGGTGGAGAGGGGCGTGTGGAGGAAGGAAGAGAGGGCTATACAGGGAGGAAGCAGGGAGTAGGTGTGAAGTGAGTCGGAGATGCTAGGGGGGAGAGCATCGGTGAGGAGAGTCGAGGTTGCGAAATCGAGGGGGTGGAGGGAGGGATATTTTCTTTGGAGGGAGGGGTCGTGGGTGTAGGTCGTGTATGATAAGGTTCGGAGATCGGATGGAAGATGCGTGAATATTTCTAGAGCGATATACTGAATTCATATATGTTAACATCAATATCCTTCGGAATAGTCTCCCATTTCCATGGTAAAAGAAAGCGTACTTCGATAAACTCCGCCAGCTCTGCCGCATCGTTGATTCTAGTTTCTTCTACGTCGATCTCTTTTGATACAGGTTTTATCGCTGTTTTCCTCCCTGCTTTAGCTTTTCTCGTCTTCCGTTTCGGTGTAATTGAGTTGGAGGTAGATGTACATTGTTCGATCAACGGTGTAGAGATACAATCGAGAAAGATGCGAAAATTGGGTTCTTCGGTGGTGTCGATCATGAGGCGTGGAATCTATCGCCGATATTGATGGTAAAGCTGGAGGGCAAAATGAAGGGGTAAAGGCTCGGTAATTTTGGGTTCCGTAACTCCATGTGAAGTTTAGAATGTGCAGATTTATTATTTATGTGGTGATGTTTATATTGATCGAAAGCCTACGATAGACGCCACCATCGATGAAGTCATGACGGTGAGATGCAGTGGTGGAGATGCTTAGTGCTGCCAAGTATTGAGCTGGAGCCACTATGCGTCGTCCCAGGCGAGATTTATTAGTGTTGATCACCGGTAAGTAAATTTTACCCCGCAATGATGCTCTTATTGGAGCTTATCATTAATGGATGGAAAATTTCGCGGATATTATTCTTCGAAAAGCTCATAAATATCTAATAATCTAATACCAAATATTGTACAATCCGGTAAGTTGCCGTTTGATGTTGTTAAATGAGCAGCAATAGTCCTGATTTTACTAGGTATATATACAATCATGTCGGACAAGAAAACGATCATAGCTTTTGATCTCTACGGTACTCTCCTCTCTACCGAAAGCATTGCAAAAGAATTGGCTCTTCATTTTGGCGATGAGAAAGCAAAATCAGTTGCTACACTATGGAGGAGATATGTATGTAGCGACCAAGTGTTTCTTGTCAATCAGTGCGACTCGTCTGACATGTGAGCACAGCAATTAGAATATACTTTCCGGATGAACAGCATGTGTAAGTTTCCTTCTCTCCCCAGTTCAGGTCCCCATCTTAAATTTTCTCCACAATGCATTAATGGAGAAACATAAGCAACCAAGTAGGTATCTAACAGTAATCATAGTACTATACAAACCCTTCTCAGAAATCACCAATACATCGCTTCGTCACGCAATATCCGAACATAAACTTGCTCTGGCTGAAACAGATATTGAGAGTGTAATGAAAGCATACAATTCTCTCTCCGCGTTTCCAGACGCTTTGATCGGACTCGAAAACTTGGCGAAAGATTCGGGAACTAATGCTTATGTATTCTCAAATGGGACAGATGAAATGGTTTCCTCATCCGTCCACAATTCCCCAGAGCTCTCGGAGTTCAAAGATCTCTTTAAAGAGCTTATTACGGTGGAAGAAGTAGAATACTATAAGCCCCATCCGAAAGTTTATGAACATTTGGTTAGGAAGGTGAGAGGTAGTGTTGAGAAAAAGGATTGCGAGGATGTGTGGCTTGTCAGTGGGAATCCGTTTGATATTGTAGGTGCAAGACACGCGGGTCTGATGACTTGTTGGGTGGATAGAAGTAAAGGGGGTTGGAATGATATGCTGGGCGATTTGGCAAGCGGGGGACCGCACCTGGTTGTTGAGGGGGTTGACGCCGCTGTGAGAGAGATTCAGAGAGTGTCTAAGGATCAGTGAGGATTGTATGCTGAAGCTCTAGCTTAACTCTGGTAATTGTATGCTTGTATATTATGTCAGAGGTAGACTTTATCGTAGATTGCATATTATGGATTGTGTTTTCGAGGGAATGAGAAAGTCAAGAAGTGAACGGTCAAAAGATATAAGAAATTTCACATGTTTTGTTCAAATTTACTTAGGTAAGATAGTTGAAATTTCTATAGTTAAAGTACTCATCATTAACAGTTCTGGGAATATAGCAATTTTTAATTTTCATCCTCGAATGCGTTTCCGATGCACAGCCACAAATCATGCGTGGCGGTGCAATACATCTCTTTCCGCTGTCTGCCCCGCAATATATATCAGCCCTCTCACCTTGAAGAGCTTGAGATCGTTTGGCATGAACTATTCAATACCATTTGCTTTTACATTTGAAGCAGAAATTACAGGAAATATGTAGGAAGGGAAGATGCAGCTTTCGGGGTCGAGGTAGTTGTCAAGAGGTTCTTCTTGTCATGGAAGGTGAGTGGGCAGTTCATGAGTCTTTCACCATCTGCGACAACCGACGACTATATCGCCGGCCTTACGCGTAAGATTTGATGCTATTGTTCTAGCTTTTGGTCTAGTCTTCACCTTAATTCCACTGAGACATAAGGTTACATGAAATGAATACGCTCGGAACACAGAGAACGAAATCTTCCAAGAACGACAGAAGAAGCAGGATAAGAAAATATGAAAGAATGGCATAATATGAAAACAGTGTTTTGATCTCCTGATACTTTATGGAGAAAGAAGAATTTTCGAGGCGTATGTACAACAGGTGTGAGTCTCCTCGAACCAAAACAAATTCCTCTTTCTTGCTCGAGAACATCATCTCTTCCTGGGATAATACTCCACATCTTTCGGACTCGATCATGATGTCTTTGATATTTTAGAACAATCACCTCAGCGGAACAAAGCTGGAACATAAATCGTGCTAAGAGTTGGAGGGAGAGGTATTCGCATGTATTGGATTCTTAGGATGGAGGGTCCACAGCAAGGCGGATCCTTTTTCTTTGTATGAAATTGGATGAGAACTTTGCAGTTTTTGTGGAATTATAGGACAGGAAAGGGGCACTGAGAAATTGTACATGTGTTAAATTTTCTCGACTTTTTGTTTCAAGGGTTAGGATAGTGGGAAAACCGTTTTGTGGGAGTCCCTTCTTCCAGTTTGTGTCGAGTTTGGAAAGGTGAGCGGCGAAATCGATCATTCAGGATTTGTAGTCATCCTTACAGACGCTCTCTTTTTTTCACAGGTCTGATTGATCGAGAAGTTCTCTCGATTTGTATTGATTCTATTGAATGCGTCCAAAGAACAAAAGAACTTTCAGAGAGCAGTAGATCGTGAACTTGGTGCTCGCTGTCTGAAGTTTATCGACTTTCCATTCTCCAGTTTTCTCCTATAATTTACCGACAGAATGGTACAGGAGAGTTTCTGGCATTCGTAAAAACGATAAACGTTTGAGGGCGGGCCGGCACGGCAATCCTTGGTTCTTCGATCTCAACATCGAATACAGTACCTTTTATGCATGATTCTGGTGGTACTGTTTATCTTTTAAAACTTGATCTTGGTTTGCTAGCATAGAGGTCAGAGTATTTCGATGTATATTGATGCAGACTTCGCTAGTTCAGGGTGGAGGTCAGTAGACCCAAAGAAGACCTAAACATTGTCGTCATCGATATACCAAGTAAATGATTTGTTCTTCAATTGTACGTATTGATACTAAGTTATTTACATCAAATGAAGATCAAGAAGATATACTTGAGAGTCTGGAACACAGACGTACTTCTTTAAGGGGATGTTTACCTGCTCAGACTGCGATGATCATCCAGTTGAAACCCTTAAATTCCAAAAAGATCAACCTCAGGTCAGAACAAGACTACAAAGAACACAAGATTAGTTATGATGCCTTGAATAGTTTTACTTTTCTTCAGTTTAAACCATCATGTTACGGTTTTCAAGTCCGCCTTCGTTCCTTCCCCCGGAA